TTTCTCCAATACTTTTATAAAGGCTTACTTCATATGGAGATGAAGATGATTGATGCAACAAGTAGAGGAGCTCTCGTCAACATGACTCCCGCATTGGCCAGAAATCTGATTTCTATTATGGCTGCCAACTCTCAACAATTTCACCCATCCAGTGAACCCTTACAATGTGTTCACGAGATAAGTACTCCATCTCTAGAGGATAAAATTGATAAGTTAACTAATGAGGTTTAATTTGTCATTGCAGGTAAAACATGACCAGCAAGGTTATGTGGAATCTGCACGATGTCGGATCATCCTACAGACTATTGTCCAATGCTTCAAGAAGATACTATGACTCATGTGGATACAGTGGGAAATTTTTTGGGACCTCCCTAGAGACCTCACAATCCTTACGCCAACACCTATAATTCGGGGTGACGAGATCTTCTAGATTTTAACTATGGGTAGAATCTGAGACCAAGTCAAGCTTATCAACCAAGGCCACCTCCACCTCAACAGTACCAGTAGCTAAAGTCATCATTAGAATCAATTTTGGAGCAACTGACAATATCTCAAGAGAATTTTCAGAACTGAATCAAAGAACACTTACAAGAGTTGGACAAACAGATGATTTAACTGGCTTAAACAGTGGGGCGATTGGAGTCTCAAGGGAAGTTACCATCACAGACAGAGCCTAATCCAAGGCGAAATGCCAGTGCCATGACCCTTTGAAGTGGCACTGTTGTTGAGACTGAGCCACCCAAAGTAGTTGCCACAAGAACCCAAGAGAAGAAGAAATAGTAAAAAACGTCAGTGCCATCTTCTACATCATCCCTCGCCTCATCTTCTGCACCATCTCCCTATGTTGTTCCACCTCCTTTTCTGTCGAGACTAGTTAAGCGCGACAAACAAGCCACATAGAAACAAATACTTGATGTTTTTCGGAAGGTCGAGATTAATATACCCCTCCTTGATGTTATAAAAAAAATTCCACGGTATGCCAGATTTTTGAAGAATCTTTGCACAAATAAAAGGAAGTTTATCAGAAATGAAAAGCTAAACTTGGGTGAAAATATTTATGTTGTATTTCAACGTAAAATTCCAACTAAGTATAAGGATCAATGTATGTTTTCTATTCCTTGTAAAATTGGTAAGATAGATATAAAACGAGTTATGTGTGATTTGGGTGCTTCAATAAATGTTATGCCTCTTTTGATATATAACTTAGTGTTAAGCCTTTGCAATAGACATGTGTAACAATCCAACTTGCTAATAGATCTGTGGTTTATCTTGAAGGAGTTCTTGAAAACATATTGGTTAAGGTAAATGACTTGGTATTTCCTGCAGATTTTTACGTCATTGATATAGAAGATGACAGTTCAAATACTTCATCCGAAATCTTACTCGACAGACCATTCTTAAGCACAACTCAAACTAAAATCAACGTTAGAAGCGAGATTATGACAATGGAATTTAACGGTGAAGTTGTCAAATATGATGTTTATAAGGCGATGAAATATCCCGACTCAATGGCTAATATTAGTTTTGTTGATGTTTTAGAACCTATCATCGATGAATTTATAGAGAATAATTTTTTTGATAATTGTACAGGGAATTAGAGGAAGTCGATGATAAAATAAGGAACTTGGAAACTATTTCCTTTGTTTATTCTAATTTGTGTCTTACTCCCTCAAAAACTAAGATTTTACCTTATATTTTTCAGTCAGCAGAAATCGAGCTAAAACAATTACCAGATCACTTAAAGTATGATTTTTTGGGAGAATGAGCAACTTTGTCGGTTATCATCTCAAACAAACTTTCCATGGAGGAAGAGAATGATTTTCTTTGAGTCCTAAAAGAGCATAAAGAAGCGATATGATGGACAATCGCTGACATCAAAGAACTCAGTCCTCCGACTTGCATGCATAAAATCAAATTTGAAGAAAATACTAAGCCTTCTCGTGAAGGTCAGAGGGGCCTAAACCCTCCCATGATGGAGGTGGTTAGAAAGGAGATCTAGAAGCTTCTCGACACTGATATGATTTATTCATTTTTTTATAGTAATTGGGTAAGTCCAGTCCATGTGGTCCCTAAGAAAACTGGAGTTACAGTAGTTAAGAATTCATAAGGCGAGTTAGTCCCTACATGTGTTCAGAATGGGTGGAGAGTTTGTATCGATTATAGGAAGTTGAACACTTTAACTAAAAAAAATCATTTTCCATTTTCATTTATTGATCGAATGATTGGACGTTTAGCCAGAAAGTCTCACTATTGTTGTCTTGATGGTTTTTTAGGTTTCTTTCAAATCCCTGTGGCACTAGAGGATCAAGAAAAAACCACATTTACTTGTCAGTTTGACACTTTTGCTTATTGTCGGATGCCATTCGGTCTTTATAATGCACCAACCACTTTCCAAAGGTTCATGATAAGTATATTTTCTGATTACATCAAAAAAGGGATCGAAGTGTTTATGAATGATTTCACAGTTTACGGTAATTCTTTTGGTGAGTGTTTGTCAAATTTGATGAAAATCCTGAAGTGATGCCTTAAATTCAATATTGTTTTAAATTATGAAAAATGTCATTTTATGGATGATAAATGACTAATTTTAGGCCATGTCATTTCTTCTAATGGGATTGCAGTTGATAAAGCTAAAACTGACATTATTCTCTCACTTCCATACCCTACGACTATGAGGGAGATTTGTTCATTTATTGGTCATGCAGGTTTCTATCGGAGGTTTATCAATGACTTTTCTAAAATAGCACAAGCACTTTGTAATTTATTACAAAAGGATAAGATATTTGATTTCGATCCAGAATGCAAAAAACCCTTCTATTTTCATAAGGAAGTGTTGATTTCAGCTCCCATAGTTTAACCACCTAACTAGGATTACCCCTTCGAAATCATGTGTGACGCGAACGATAGGAGCGTACGAGCTATGTTGAGACAAAAGATCAAAAAAGAATCGCATGTCATTGCCTACGCATCTAAAACTTTGGATGTGGCTCGGTAAAACTATTCGACAACATAAAAAGAACTTTTTGCTAATCTTCTGGGAACTAAAATTATTGTTTTTTTCTGATCATGCAACTTTGAAATATTTGCTGAATAAGGAGGCAAAGTCACACTTAATTCGATGGATTTTACTCTTTTAGGAGTTTAATTTGGAAATTAAAAACAAGAAGGGCTACGAGAATTCATATACCATATCCCCAAGTACCTTTTGGTGCTGGAACCGGGGCTAAAGAATCCGAGTTCGAAGATTCCACCTGCAGAAGCCATGGTATCACCATCTCTAATCGAACCAGTAGCATATAAGCTTTCCAACGTAATACCAAGAGTGCGCAAAAGAGATGCAAGATAAAGCCCGCCGTTGATGAGATTTAGAGAACTTTGAAGACTTCTGAGGATCAAATTCCTTATAAGTACACATTCTCATAAGTGAACTCCATAATGCCATGCTGCTAACCTCTGCTCTAAGAAGCCTTTTCTGAAGAACTGTAATCTAAAGGGTAAAGTATACCAGAAGTCACTGAACTATACTCAAACGATTTCTTTGGTCATTGAGATTCTAAAGTTTACAAAATGATCATTGTATCTTTTAAATTGTTACAAAATGGTCACTGTATCTTTTAAATTGTTACAAAATGGTCACTGTATCTTTTAAATTGTTACAAAATGGTCACTGTAATATTATAATAATGGTAAGAATTTAGTGTCCACTTTATAACTTTTGAAAATTCAATAACCAAAATGATAATGCAGCGTCGGCAATTATTTTTTATTCGAGAATCTCATCTACAATGTTTCCTTTGAACGCAGCCTCTATTAATTGTATTTTTTCTACAAACTTGTTGCTGCAACTGTTAGCATTGACTAAAATGAATAAAGAAACATATATTTGACTGAACCTGGGAATTAGTCCATGTTACTTAAAAGTTATTATATCATTAAAATTTTAAATGTAAAATTAATACAATATATTTAGATATTATATTAAATTTTATCATACCTATTTTATAAATGAAATAAAATATTTTACATAAAAATATATTTATGAAAATATTTCAATGAATGACAACAACACAATTATAAGTGATATATATTTAAATTTATTAATCGCATATTTGATGTTCATATAATAATTTTTAAATATTATATGAAATTATAAAAATGTCAAAACACTCCTATATTATTGGAAGTCATATTAAAACTTAAACTTAAAAAAATATTATCAAAATTTTAATCTTACCAATAAATTGAAGTGTCATTGACTAATAATTTATATTTCTACAACAATAAATGTATTTATATTTATTGTATATAGTCAACCAAATAGACCAACTTTAAATTGAAAGGTTCAGTTGAAGAAACACGAATGAATTACATATAAAAATTATTATTTAAAACATATATTGCATAAAAATTATTTATTCTAATTATAAATTTTGAAATTTAATACTTTAATTTTAGAGTGTTAAAATTATAAGTTATAAAGTTTAAAAAGAAATTAAGAGGTCATTTTTTAATAAAATATTTAAGTATATATACAACAACAACAACAAAACTCAATTCTCATATGTAATTGGGTAAGGGGAGGTAGTGTAGTAGGCTGTCCCAACGCCAGGTTGAGATTAGCTTCCGTAGAAGACCTCCGGCAGTCAGAAAATTAAAAATATAGATAAAATGTAATGCATGTATAAATAAATATATAAATACATAGTTGAACAATATTCATATGCAGTCATTAATATCATATGCAGTCATTAATATCATATGCGCGTCTGTAATGAAAAGTACTTCCTGTTTCCTCATAAATTTACAATTATATCCCTATCCTACGTTCCAAGAAGAAACCTTGCAGAAAGGCCACCATTTTTATCTGTATCTTAGTTGTCTATCAATGGCCTCTCTTTCTTCGAAATCTCATCTCTTTCAACCCTTTTCTATATATTCCATTCCAACATCCCCGACAATTCATTCCACAAAAATATCAATTCCCAAAGTTCAATAAACTTTGTTATCACGTCAACCATGTCTGCAATTCCTCCATCGGTTTCACAAAACTCTTCGGGGTTCCATGATTTCTTTCCCGTGATGTCCAACAAGCTCGGAGGGGATGGTCTGATAGGGGAGCTCTGCAATGGGTTCAGCCTGTTGATGGACACTGAGAAAGGGGTCATCACTTTTGATAGCTTGAAGAAGAATTCGGCGCTTTTGGGGTTAGAGGACTTGACGGATGATGATTTGAGGTCTATGATGAAAGAAGGTGATTTCGATGGCGATGGTGCGCTTAACCAGATGGAGTTTTGTGTGTTGATGTTCAGGTTGAGCCCTGAGTTGATGGAAGCGTCTCGGTTTTTGTTAGAGGAGGCTTTCGAACATGAATTCAAGGATTTCCATTGATACCTTTTGATACTTCTTAGTTTCTTGTTTCATCCTGTATCTAATGAAATTGTTGAATATACAGAAAGAATAGAAAAGGAAAAGGAAAATATTTTAATCAAAATTTTACATTTGTGTGGTAAATTTTTGTTAATGAAATTTGTGTTTCGAGCATTAATTTTTATATGCAATTCAAATATAAAAATGAATGTGGTGAAAGTTGGGGGAAATTCAATAGTAGCAGTTAAACAAGACCTAACTTGTTTGACCCTTGAGACTAATGTGTTGGCAATTTCTCGTAAATGCAGAACGCTTGACTTTTTGGCAACCGTGTTCACTTTATTAGTGATCTCCGTCATTATAAGTGAAGACTTGCACAGTTTATCGACCAATAATCATCAACTTTCTAATGCCAGGAGTCATTTATTCAAGCCAGGACTTTTGCAGTTATAGTCTATGCATGAATTTATACTCAATTTTGCAAGCACTGAGCTATAGACATCCATGGGAATGGGTATCTTTTCATACAGTGCTTGTTGTTTCCTCATCATCTTCTCAAAAGCTTCGACTGCAATCGACATCATTTCGACAGAAGAGTCATTTGCTGATGGCATGACCTTAGTCTCCAACGATGGAAGCTTTGCATTGGGTTTCTTCTCTCCTGGTACTTTGATGCAGGGGGATCTGAGACAGATGATGCTGAGCTGTCAGATTGCACGTTGATGGCGCTGAGATACCATGAGTTGGCAGATCAGCGCAAAGGCGGGAATTGATTGTGACATGTTCCTTATTGGGGTCGTTTTGAGTATGTTTCAGTCTTTTGGCCATAACTTTGGCTACAGGTGTCAGAATCGCGCATAAGACCCCAATCCGGAAAGCTCTTTTCGACGCGCACGCTCTCCACATTGCCATGTGGCCTTTTTTTCAACCTCAAATTCTGCCGTTTTCCCCTCCGAATCACTAGATTTAGTTATTTTTTACTATTTATGGTAATATTTCGATTGTTAATTAGGAAGTCAATTTAAATCCGATTTAGACCGGATTTTTGGGAGATTGCTTATTTTATTTCGAATTTCAATTTAGAGTGATTTTCGGGATTTTGCTATTTTTGGCAAAATTCGAATAAATACGATTTTTGCTATTTTTGGCAAAATTCGAATAAAGACGATTTTTTTAGCTATAACAGTCCGGCTTGTGGACTGCTTTTGACAGTTATTGATTTTATAATATTTTATTAAACCCTAGAGACTTTTTTTCTCTGGTTTTTGGGCGAATTTTCTCTTGTGAATCGTCTGTCGGAGCTAGCCTACAGGATAATCACTATTCTGTCTGGCGTCAGTTGGTGTCAGAGCTTCAACATCTTCTTGGGAAATTTCACCAGTTTCAATGGCTGGAGGTCGTGGTCGTGGTCGTCGTGAGCAGGTTCCGAATGAGGAAGCCCAACGCCGTGATCGCAGCGTTCAGGATGTGATGATTGCGGATTTGCAGAGGCAAGTCGCAGAATTAACCCAGCGCCTAGCGGCGCAGGATTTAGAGGATCGTGAGGCCTCTGATCACGATACAAATTCCACTTTCGAAAACCCATATCACAATCGCGCAGGATTCCGGGGCGCAGGATTCCGGGAGCACCGTGGTCGGGAGGAGCGTCATGGAGACCTCGGTTTTCGGGTCGATCTCCCTGAGTTTTCTGGTACATTACAGGCCGAGGGATTCGTGGATTGGATTAATGAAGTGGAGCGTATTTTTGAATATAAGGAAGTCCCCGATCGTGTGAAAGTGAAACTGATCGCCATCAAACTCAAGGGCAGAGCATCTGCGTGGTGGGAACAGTTACGACGTTCACGAGAAAGACAGGGCAAAGCCAAGATCACTGATTGGGAGAAGATGAAAAAGAAGATGAAGGGCCACTTCCTTCCCTTCGGCTACACGCAAACCTTATTTCAGCGACTTCATGCGTTGAGGCAGGGCGCGCGATCAGTCGATGATTACACGGAGGAGTTTTACCAATTGGTCGCCCGGAACGATTTATCTGAGACGGAGGAGCAGATGGTGGCGCGATATTTGGGGGGTTTACGCCAGCCCTTGCAAGATGTCCTCAGCCTTCATTCATTGTGGAGTGTTTCGGAAGCATACCAGCGTGCACTTGCTGTTGAAAAACAGCAAAACAGGAGACCAGTGATCAGGAGCGATCACAACAGTCGACCAGTTCGCCCTCAAGAGTCCCGTCCTGCTCAGCAGCCACCGCAGGGTAATTCTAACCCTACTATTAGATGTTTTCGTTGTGGTGAACAAGGGCATAGGGCGACTGATTGCAGGAAGCCTGCTAGTCAAAAGGGAAAAAATTTGTTGATTGAGGAAAACGTGGAAGACGAGAATGAGGAGATTGGCGAACCTGTGTATGACGATGATGAGACTGATGATGTGCTATATGGAGATGGTCATGAGACTCTGGTCGTTCGCAAGAGTCTACTTACCCCCAAGGGCGATTCAGGGGACGATTGGTTGAGAACCAATATTTTCCACACGACTTGCACAGTTGCAGATAAAGTCTGCAAAATGATCATTGACAGCGGCAGTTGTGAGAATGTAGTGTCCGAGGAGGTTGTCCAGAAATTGCAGTTGAAGACGGACCGTCATCCTAAGCCATACAAGTTGTCATGGCTAAATAAAGACAGTGAGGTAACAGTTGATAGGCGATGCCTGGTGTCTTTTCAATTGGTAGAAAATATTTTGATAATGCCTGGTGTGATGTTGTGTCTATGGATGCGTGTCATATATTGTTGGGTCGACCTTGGCAGTATGATCACAGTGTCATTCATGATGGACGGAAGAATACATATTCCCTTAGCATCAAGGGAAAAAGATTGTGTTGGCACCCCGGCGGGAAGGACTTACTCCTACCCCAGTAACCCATAATACTAATCTGCTTTCTATGTCCAGGTTTTTAGATGAGATTGAGCATGGCGACGTGGTCTATGCCTTGCTACCTTGCGAGAACAATGCAGTAGACGTGGATACAGATTTACCAGTAGAGGTGCAGCGGTTGCTAGCAGAATTCTCTAACTTGATGCCAGAGGATCTTCCTCCTGGACTACCACCTATGAGGGATATTCAGCATCAAATTGACCTTGTTCCTGGGTCAAGTTTGCCAAATCGACCAGCATATCGCCTCAGTCCCAAGGAGGCCGAAGAGTTGCAGCGACAGGTGGAAGAGTTGTTGGAGAGGGGCTATATCCGAGAGAGTATGAGCCCATGTGCAGTCCCTGCTCTGTTAGTGCCAAAGAAAGATGGTTCTTGGCGTATGTGTGTTGACAGCCGAGCGATCAACAGAATTACAGTGAAGTACCGGTTTCCAATTCCCCGTCTAGATGATATGTTGGATCAGCTATCTGGTTCTAAGATCTTCTCAAAAATTGACCTTAAGAGCGGCTACCACCAAATCAGAATAAGGCCTGGAGATGAGTGGAAGACGGCGTTTAAAACGCCACAAGGGTTGTATGAGTGGATGGTCATGCCTTTTGGGTTATCCAATGCGCCCAGTACATTCATGAGATTTATGCATCAGGTCTTGCGGCCTTTTATGGGGAAATTTGTTGTAGTTTACTTCGATGATATCCTCGTTTATAGTCCGACATGGACTTCACACTTCGATCACCTCCGTGCTGTTTTTGAGATGCTGAAAACGGAGTGCTTGTTTGTCAATCAAAAGAAGTGTTCTTTCTTCACTACTTCTGTGACTTTTCTTGGTTTTGTTGTGTCTACTGATGGTGTTCATGCAGATCAGTCAAAAATAGATGCAGTCTTGGAGTGGCCCAGACCAAGAACATTACATGACATCCGAAGTTTCCATGGCTTGGCGTCTTTTTACCGTCGATTCATTAGAAATTTCAGTACTCTGATCGCCCCTATCACAGAGTGCCTCAAAGGGCGTGATTTCCAGTGGTCTGAGGAGGCAGAGGCCAGTTTTCAACTGGTCAAGCAGAAGATGACCGAGGCTCCAGTTTTGGCACTTCCAGATTTTGACAAAGTGTTCGAGGTAAATTGTGATGCATCTGGCGTTGGCATTGGTGGTGTTCTGAGTCAGGTAGGTCGTCCGGTTGCTTTTTTCAGTGAGAAGCTATCGGGATCAAAGAAAAATTATTCCACTTATGATCTGGAGTTCTATGCCATAGTTCAGTCCCTGAAGCATTGGCGTCACTACCTAGTACAGAAGGAGTTTATTCTGTTTACCGATCATGAGGCCTTGAAGTACATCAATGGCCAACACAAGCTGAGTAGACGTCATGCCAAGTGGGTAGCATACTTGCAAGAATTCACTTTTACGCTGAGGCACCAAGCAGGGAGTTTGAACCGCGTCGCAGATGCCCTGAGCCGTCGTACCTTACTTCTCACCACCATGAGTACTAAAGTTGCAGGATTTGAGACGTTCACAGATATGTATGCAGCTGATCCTTCCTTTGGAAGGATATTTCAGGAGGTAACTGAGGGTCACCGTCATGATTTTGTTTTGCATAATGGGTATCTGTTTCGTGGATTACAATTGTGCATTCCAGATTGTTCATTGAGGCAGCAAATTATAAGTGAACTCCATAATGAGGGACACTTTGGCCGAGATAAGACATTGGCCCTTATCTCTTCTGAATTTTATTGGCCCAAGTTGACTAGTGATGTGGCCCATTATGTGGACCGTTGTTATGTGTGCCAGCGATCTAAGGGAGTTCTCACCAATGCGGGATTGTACACTCCCTTACCTGTTCCTGAAGCTCCTTGGTTCGATGTCAGCATGGATTTTGTACTAGGCTTACCCCGCACCCAAAGGGCCTCTGATTCTATCTTTGTTGTGGTTGACAGGTTTTCCAAGATGGCTCATTTTGTAGCTTGCAGAAAGACTATGGATGCTGACCGGATTGCCCATCTCTATTTCAAGGAGATTGTGCGTTTACATGGTGTTCCTCGATCCATCACTTCAGATCGTGATACTAAGTTCATCAGTCATTTCTGGAAGAGCCTGTGGGGGAAACTGGGAACGCAGTTGAATTTCAGTAGCGCCTACCACCCCCAGACGGATGGCCAGACTGAGGTGGTGAACCGAAGTTTGGGAAACCTTTTAAGGTGTTTGGCAGGAACGAAGCCGAAGCAGTGGGATTTGGCATTGCCTCAGGCAGAATTTGCCTACAACAGATCAAAAAACAGAACCACAGGTTTAAGCCCATTTGAGATTGTCTATGGTCAGAACCCATCCGGGGTGTTGGACTTAGCCCCTATTCCACGTATAGGACGTTTCAGTCCTAAAGCAGATGAGATGGCAAAGTATCTTCGGGGTATCCATGAGCAGGTGAAACAGACCATTCATGAGAGCAATACCAAGTACAAGACTCGGGTCGACAATCATCGTCGTCAGGTACTTTTTGATGTTGGTGATTTTGTTTGGGCTGTATTAACTCGTGATCGTTTTCCTGTTGGTGAGTATAATAAGCTTAAGGATCGGAAGATTGGACCTTGTGAGGTCGTGCAGAAGATCAATGATAATGCTTACAGGTTGCGACTTCCCAGTCACTTGAAGACTTCTGATGTCTTTAATGTGAAGCACCTGAGTCATTGTTTTGTGGATCCTGATGACACTACTCTGAACTCGAGGACGAGTTCTTTCCAACCCGGGGCGACTGATGCAGGGGGATCTGAGACAGATGATGCTGAGCTGTCAGATTGCACGTTGATGGCGCTGAGATACCATGAGTTGGCAGATCAGCGCAAAGGCGGGAATTGATTGTGACATGTTCCTTATTGGGGTCGTTTTGAGTATGTTTCAGTCTTTTGGCCATAACTTTGGCTACAGGTGTCAGAATCGCGCATAAGACCCCAATCCGGAAAGCTCTTTTCGACGCGCACGCTCTCCACATGAGCTACGCTCCATGTGGCCTTTTTTTCAACCTCAAATTCTGCCGTTTTCCCCTCCGAATCACTAGATTTAGTTATTTTTTACTATTTATGGTAATATTTCGATTGTTAATTAGGAAGTCAATTTAAATCCGATTTAGACCGGATTTTTGGGAGATTGCTTATTTTATTTCGAATTTCAATTTAGAGTGATTTTCGGGATTTTGCTATTTTTGGCAAAATTCGAATAAATATGATTTTTGCTATTTTTGGCAAAATTCGAATAAAGACGATTTTTTTAGCTATAACAGTCCGGCTTGTGGACTGCTTTTGACAGTTATTGATTTTATAATATTTTATTAAACCCTAGAGACTTTTTTTCTCTGGTTTTTGGGCGAATTTTCTCTTGTGAATCGTCTGTCGGAGCTAGCCTACAGGATAATCACTATTCTGTCTGGCGTCATACTTCCAAGAACCGCTACCTGGGAATCTGGTACAACAACATCCCCATGCAAACTGTTGTCTGGGTTGCAAACAGGGTAAATCCAATAAATGATTCCACTGGCTTGTTGAAGATAGAAAGTAGGGGCAAAGTTGTGCTTCAAGTTCAGAACAAAACAGCTGTTTGGTCGATTAATACGACAGCAAGTGTTCGGAATCCAGTTTTGCAGCTTCTGGATTCCGGAAATCTTGTTGTCAAAAATGGAAAGGGTGGTAATCCAGAGAATTACTATTGGCAAAGCTTTGATTACCCGTCAGATACAATGTTACCTGGGATGAAAATTGGTATTGATTTAAGAAAGGGTTTCGGTCGAAGACTATCAGCCTGGAAGAACTGGGATGATCCATCTCCTGGTGATCTTACTTATGGTGTAGAACTCGAAGGAAACCCGGAGATGGTGCTAAGGAAAGGCTCAGAAAAGTATTACCGCGCTGGATTATGGAATGGCAATGGATTTAGCGGGGCACCAAATTTGAGGTTGAATCCCATCTTTGATTATGACTTTGTGTGGAACGAACATGAGGTTTACTACATATTTTTCCTCAAAAACAAATCTGTGATGTCAAGGTTTGTTTTGAACCAAACTGAAAATGTAAGACAAAGGTACACATGGAATCCAGAAACTAAAACTTGGAAGCTGTTTGCAATCATGCCAAGTGACTATTGCGATCGATGGGGACTTTGTGGTCCAAATGGTAACTGTGATAACAATAAGCTTCCGGCTTGTCAATGTCTGAAAAGGTTCAGGCCAAAGTGGCCCGAAAGATGGAACTCAACGGATTGGTCCGAAGGGTGTATACGCAGTAAGCCATTGAATTGCGAAAGTGGAGATGGGTTTATCAGAATAAGGAGAGTTAAAACCCCAGACACCACAAATTCTTGGGTTAATAATACAATGAATCTCAAGGAATGTAGGGCTAAGTGCTTGAGGAACTGTTCTTGCATGGCGTATACTAATTTAGATGTTACAAGAGGATGTAGTGGCTGCATCATGTGGTTCGATGATCTGATTGATATCAAACAATTTCAATCAGATGGTCAGGATATTTACATCAGAGTGTCTGCTTCAGAAACAGGTACTACAGGTTCACAATGAAATCGTTCTTATTACATCTTGCGGTAATGTTAATTAATATCTGTGCATCTTGATCAATACTGATAATGGCAGAACTGAAGAAAAAGGTTAAGGTGAAGCTTGCCATCATACTTGCAACTGTAATTGCTGCCCTGTTGGGGTTCCTTTCAGTCGTTTGTTACATTCGCAGAAGCAGGAGAAAGTTAAAAGGTAACACTAATTATGGTCCTCATACACTTGGTGTATTATGATCCTAATTATGATCTAAAGAAATACCGAGTCAAATTGTCTATAAACCAAGTGCTTGGTGTATTTTGGTTTTTGGTATTTGTCCAGAAACATGCAAATAAATCAATCAATATAGGAAAGAGGCAGTGGGAATTTCTGATACATGTTTTTTTATTATCGTTTTCAGATGAAGTGCAGAACAAGAATGTAAATGATACAGAGAATAAAGAACAGAACAAAGATATAGAGCTTGCAGTATTTGAGTTCAGTACAATAGCACAAGCTACTGATAGTTTTTCATTTCATAACAAGTTAGGTGAAGGAGGTTTTGGCCCAGTGTTTAAGGTGAAAATTACTGTATTTTAGTGAAGTGATATCTATGTATACAATTGTATGCAAAGCTCATTCAAAATATTGTAAAATTTTCCAGGGGACACTAGCAAATGGACAAGAAATTGCGGTGAAGAGACTTTCAAAGAGTTCTGGACAAGGATTGAACGAGTTCAAGACTGAAGTAAAGTTGATTGCCAAACTTCAGCATCGAAATCTTGTAAGGCTTCTTGGATGCTGTGCTCAAGGAGATGAGAGAATGCTGGTTTACGAATACATGCCTAATAGAAGCCTTGACTCTTTCATTTTTGGTCTGAAAATCGTTCGAAAACCTCTCAATGTTATCACTTTTGCTTCTTCAATGATCATATAAGATGCAAGACTAACACGAATGCTAAATTTCCAGATAAAACGAGACGCAAAATATTAACTTGGTCCATGCGTTTCCGAATTATCTGTGGGATAGCTAGGGGACTACTCTACCTTCATCAAGACTCGAGGTTGAGGATTATCCATAGAGATCTAAAAACTAGCAATGTTCTACTGGATAGTGAGATGAACCCGAAAATTTCAGATTTTGGCATGGCAAGAACTTTTGGAGGAGATCAAACAGAGGCCAATACAAATAGAGTAGTTGGAACTTAGTAAGTGTACTTTTATGTCATTTCTATACTATTTTATCCATAAATCCCAATAAAAAACTTCATTTTTCTTTATCCGACTATTCTGCAGTGGTTACATGGCACCTGAATATGCTACCGATGGGCTGTTTTCAGTAAAATCAGATGTTTTTAGCTTTGGGATTGTATTGTTGGAGGTTATAAGTGGAAGAAAGAATAGAGGATTTTATCATGCAAATCAAAGCAGCAACCTAATTGAACATGTAAATGTCAACATATACCATTATCATTATGTTTTCTATCTTGAACTACGAATGCTTAAAATGTTTGAATTTTGTTGCAGGCATGGAGATTATGGAAAGAAGGCAAGCCTTTGGATGTTGTTGATGATTTCTTAGTAGAGAGTGGCAGTCTATCTGAGTTGCTGCGATGCATACACATTAGCCTTTTATGTGTACAACAGCATCCCGAGGAGAGACCAAGCATGTCACCCGTGGTTCTGATGCTGGAAAGTCATAATGAATTGCCTTCGCCTAAACGACCTGGTTTCCTGTTTTGCAAGAAACCCTTTGAAACAGATTGTTCATCCGGAAACTATGGATCACCTTCGAGAAACGAAATAAGTTTATCATTATTAGAGGCTCGATGAGAAAAGTTTTTAGTGTTCATTCAAACTGGTGTGGTCCAAAGTATCAACAACAATTTTCCTTCCCACTTGAAACTTGGGGAATTTATTTATCTGCAAATATGATCAATTAGAAACAAATAAAGCATACCAATTCGAAGCCACAAACATATCAAACAACAAAATTTTCTTGCTTTTGTTGTCTTTATTAATTGTCTCAAAAATATAAAACAACTTAATTATGAACATGTAGCAATAGTCCTCTGGTTGACAGAATATATAAATTCTGCCAATTGTCTGATGCACTGTAAAACTTTTCTGAATGTAATCATGGTTCCTTTGTCAACAGGGTGAGAAGACAACAAAGTCTTTGACTGGTTACAAAGAAAAGAAAACAAGGCAAACACTGCATCCCCTGCCTAGGGTCATTTATTCAAAACAAAAAGTAAAGAAAAGCCAGCAGTATATGGATTCGGTACATGTTTCTGACTTTTGGTGACTTTTCAGCCACATCTTCGACTATCCATTCCCTTCACTCATTTATTCAAGACAAAAGTCTTCTCTGGCATTTATAGTCAATGCATGAACTTAGAATGTTCAATCAGACTGACAAAAAATGTTCAAATTTCAATCAAATGTAATGTGTACTTAATTCTGCAAGCACTAAGCAATCCATGGAAATGTGTTTCTATTTTTACATTGTTTGTTGTTTCCTCATCTTATTCTCAAAAGTTTCAACCGCAATTGATACCATTTCTCTGTCGGAGTCACTCACCGATGGCACGACTTTAGTGTCCAATGATGGAAGCTTTGCTTTGGGTTTCTTCTCTCCTGGAACTTCTAACAACCGCTACCTGGGGATCTGGTACCACAGCAAACCCATACAAACTGTTGTTTGGGTTGCAAACAGGATAAACCCAATAAACGATTCCACTGGTGTGTTAAAGATAGAAAGTAGTGGCAGAATCGTGCTTCAAATTCGGAACACAGCTGTTTGGTCGACTGATACGACAGCAAGTGTTGAGAATCCAGTATTGCAGCTCCTGGATTCTGGTAATCTCGTTGTCAGAAATGGAAACGATGGTAATCCAGAGAATTACTTATGGCAAAGCTTTGATTATCCATCAGATACAATGTTACCAGGGATGAAAATCGGTGTTGACTTAAGAACTGGTTTTGCTCGAAGACTATCAGCCTGGAAGAACTGGGATGATCCATCTCCAGGTGATCTTACTTATGGTGTAGAGCTTGAAGGAATCCCACAAATGGGGCTAAGGAAAGGCTTACAAAAGTATTCTCTCAGTGGCTTATGGATTGGCAATGGATTTAGTGGGATAAGGAATGTAAGGTCGAATCCGATCTATGATTATCAATTTGTGTGGAACGAAGATGAGGTTTACTACATATTTTCCCTCAAGAACAAATCAGTGATGTCCAGGGTTGTTTTGAACCAAACTGAAAGTGTAAGAAAAAGGTACACATTGAAGGCGGACACTCGAACCTGGATGCTGTTTTCAATTAGGCCAAGTGACAATTGTGACAAATACATAGTTTGTGGTCCGAATGGGAACTGTGATAACAATGAGCTTCCGGTTTGCCAATGTTTGACAGGGTTCAGGCCGAGATGGCCTGAAAGATGGAACTCATCGGATTATTCCGGAGGGTGTATACACAGTAAGCCATTGAACTGCCAGAGAGGGGATGCGTTTATCACAATAAGTAAAGTGAGATCCCCAGACATCACAAATCCTTGGGTTAATAAAACTATGAATATCAAGGAATGCAGGGCTCAGTGCTTGAGGAAGTGTTCTTGCATGGCTTACGCTAATTTAAATTTTACCTGCGTCATGTGGTCCGGGAATCTGGTTGATATCAAACAATTTCAATCAGATTCAGATGGTATGGATCTTTACATCAGAGTGCCTGCTTCAGAATCAGGTAACCGGTTCACAAAGCTAGAACATGTGCTTATTACATCTTGTGGTAACGTTAATTAATATCTGTGCATCCTGATCAAAACTGATAATGGCAGAACTGAAGAAAAAGGCTAAGGTGAAACTTTCCATCATAGTTGCAACTGTAATTGCTGCCCTTTTGGGGTTCCTTTCAGTTGTTTGTTACATTCGCAGAAGCAGGAGAAAGTCAAAAGGTAACACTAATTATGGTGCTCATAACTGTAATCGGTTTCGGTGTTTGTCCAAAAACATGTATATAACTCGATCAATATATAAAAAGAGGCAATGTGAATTCCAATTCTAAGTTTTATACTCTTTTCAGGTGAATCTGAAGACAAGAATGTGTATAATAAAGAGAATAAAGACGAGGAAGAAGATTTGGAGCTCGCAGTATTTGGGTTTCGGACGATAGCTCAAGCTACCGACACTTTTTCATTTCGTAACAAGTTAGGTCAAGGAGGTTTTGGATCTGTTTATAAGGTAAAAGTTGCTGTATTTCAGTATAGTGATCTCTAAGTTTTCAGTTCTGTTCAAAGCTCATGAAATTATTGTAAAATTTTCCAGGGGACACTAGCAAATGGACAAGAAATTGCAGTGAAGAGACTTTCAAAGAGTTCTGGACAAGGATTGAATGAGTTTAAGACTGAAGTAAAGTTAATTGCCAAACTTCAGCATCGGAATCTTGTCAAACTTCTTGGTTGCTGCATTCATGGAGATGAGAGGATGCTGGTTTACGAATACATGCCTAATAGAAGCCTTGACTCTTTCATTTTCGGTATGAAAATCATTAGAAAAACCTCTCAATGTTATCACTTTTACTTCTTCAATGATCAAATAAGATGTAGGACTGACATGAATGCATACTTCCCAGATCAAACGAAAAGCAAAGTATTAACTTGGTCCAAGCGTTTCCGAATCATCTGTGGGATTGCTAGGGGACTACTCTACCTTCATCAAGACTCAAGGTTGAGGATTATTCATAGAGATTTAAAATCTAGTAATGTTCTACTTGACAGCGAAATGAACCCCAAAATTTCCGATTTTGGCCTGGCAAGAACTTTTGGAGGCGATCAAACAGAAGCCAATACAAACACAATAGTTGGAACTTAGTAAGTGTAATTTTATGCATTTTGACATAAAATTTTATTATAAATCCCTAATGTATATTTTTTCTTCTTTATCTGACAACGTTCATGCAGTGGTTATATGGCACCAGAATACGCCACCGATGGGCTGTTTTCAGTAAAATCAGATGTTTTTAGCTTTGGGATTGTATTGTTGGAGGTTATAAGTGGAAGAAAGAATAGAGGGTTTTATCATACAAATATCAGCAGCAACCTCATTGTACATGTAAATGTCAACAGATAGTATTATCATTTATGTTTTCTCACTTAAACTAAAAATGCTAAAAAGGTTTGAATTTTGCTGCAGGCATGGAGATTATGGACAGAAGGCAAGCCTTCGGATGCTGCTGATGATTTCTTAGTAGAGACTGGCGATCTACCCGAGCTGTTACGATGCATCCACATTAGCCTTTTATGTGTACAGCAGCATCCAGAGGAGAGACCGAGCATGTCATCTGTGGTTCTTATGTTGGGAAGTCATAATGAATTGCCTTTGCCTAAACAACCTGGCTTCTTGTATTACAACAAACCCTTCGAAGCAGATTCTTCACCTGGCAAAGAGGGATCGTCTTCGAGAAACGAAATAAGTTTATCTTTATTAGAGGCTAGATAAAAGATGGTTGTATGGTTCATTCAATCTGTCATGCTCCAAACTGTCTGTAACAATTTCTGTCTCACTTGAAACTAAAAAAACAATACTTATTTCAAGCCAAAAACATATAAAGCAACTTAATTTTATTGCATTTGTTGTTTTTATCATTTGAATCAAACATATAAAACAACTTGATTATGAACATGGAACAATAGTTCTCTTTGTGGGATTCCTTTATTAATCAGAAGCAATAGTAATTGAACACTGACCAGACTGATAATGAATATGATGTACATTTTTGTAAATAAATAAACCGAACTTCCGGAATCCAAATCGACTATCCAATTCACTAATTCGAATCTTATAAACCTAACTTCAAGAAGTTACATATGCATCAAGAAAAAAAGTTGTCAAAGCTTTTGAGTCCCAAAGTTTTTTTTTTTTGACAACTATTTTTGTTCAAACTAAAGAACCCTTGAACTAGTAAACAAATCTTAACCGATAATGCAACATGATCAAATCTTGATTGATCCTTGAGACAGTATGTATTTGCAATTTCTTGGACATTAAGAAGACATATCTTGTAACTTAGGTTATAGCCTACAAATGATTTTTTTTATCCAATCAGTAAAAGTTTGGTGGAAGACTTGACTTTTTGGAGAAGTCAATAAGTAGAAATGTATGTTATTTAATTTCATTCTGAACGTCCCTTGGTCAGACACAGTTTTATATTCTTGTAGTCTAATTTTTAATTGTTTTAGAGGTTTTTTTTAAAAAAAATTTACATATTAACATCATTCTAATATAGAATTAAGGTTCAATTATTGCAAACTTAATTTCAGTTCCTGCAGGTGAGAAGGGTTGTTTCTCAACAGTCTGAAGAAAATTATAAATAAGCTTCTTCAAAGTCAGTTGAATATAAATACTTGTATCTGATATCATTGCTGAAGACTTCCAACATTTTATTCATCAAATTCCATGCCTCCGGTCATCCATATAATGTGTGCTTAATTCTGCAAGCAAATTAGCTACCAGACTAGACATCCATGGGAACGGGTTTCTATTTTTACAGTGCTTGTTGTTTCCTCATCATCTTCTCAAAAGCTTCAACTGCAATCGACACCATTTCTCCATCGGAGTCAATCACTGATGGCATGACCTTAGTCTCCAATGGTGGAAGCTTTGCTTTGGGTTTCTTCTCTCCTGGCAGCTCCAAGAACCGCTACCTTGGAATCTGGTACAACAACATCGCCATAGAAACTGTTGTCTGGGTTGCAAACAGGATAAACCCAATAAACGATACCACTGGACTGTTGAAGATAGAAATTAGTGGTAAAGTTGTGCTTCAAGTTCAGAACACAACAGCTATTTGGTCGAGTAATACAACAGCAAGTGTTGAGAATCCGGTGTTGCAGCTCCTGGATTCTGGTAATCTTGTTGTCAGAGATGGAAACGATAGCAATCCAGAGAGTTACTTATGGCAAAGCTTTGATTATCCAACGGATACATCGTTGCCAGGGATGAAAATTGGCGTTGATTTAAGAACTGGTCTGGATCGAAGACTCACAGCCTGGAAGAACTGGGATGATCCATCTCCTGGTGATCTTTCTTATGGTATAGAACTTGAAGGAAGCCCAGAATTAGTGCTATGGAAAGGCTTGGAAAAGTACTCTCTGAGTGGGATATGGAATGGCAATGGATTTAGTGGGGCTCCGAATTTGAGATCGAGTCCGATATTTGGTTACGACTTTGTGTGGAATGAAAATGAGGTTTACTACATATATTTCCTCAAGAACAAATCATTGATTTCAAGGGCTGTTTTGAACCAAACTGAAAGTGCAAGAGAAAGGTACACATGGAACCAAGAGACTCAAGCCTGGCAGTTATCTCTAATCATGCCAAATGGGTACTGTGACATATATGGACGTTGTGGTCCAAATGGGAACTGTGATAGCAACAAGCTTCCTGCTTGTCAATGTTTGACAGGGTTCAGTCCGAAATGGCCTGAAAGATGGAACTCATCAGATTATGCCGGAGGGTGTAGACATATTAAGCCATTGAACTGCCAGAAAGGAGATGGTTTTATCAGAATTGGCAACGTGAAAACCCCAGACACCACAAATTCTTGGGTTAATAAAACTATGAATCTCAAGGAATGTAGGGATAAGTGCTTGAGGAACTGTTCTTGCATGGCCTACACTAATTTAGATGTTCCAACAGGTAGTGGCTGCGCCATGTGGTTTGGTGATCTGATTGATATCAAACAATTGCTCTCAGAGGGTCAGGATCTTTACATCAGAGTGTCTGCTTCAGAATCAGGTACTTGTTTACAAAGCTAGAACGATTTTTTGTACCGATTGAAACTGTAATTAATATTTGTGCATCTTGATTTAATGGCAGAACTGAAGAAAAGGGATAAGGTGAAGCTTGCCATCATACTTGCAACTGTAATTGCTGCCCTTTTGGGGTTCCTTTTAGTCGTTTGTTATATTCACAGACGTAGGAGAAAGTTAAAAGGTAACACTAATTATGATCCTGATTAGTGTGCTCATTTTTTTCTTTTCTACAAATTCTAAAATCATTTTGCTAATTTATGTTACTTGAACTCGAGTATGTGTTAGAAACGAGTGCATGCCCAACACAATTATATTCGAGTTATCTGAGTTGTTCTATGTATTTAGAAGGTAGATGGAAGCTCATATTTCATACGCTTATCAGAGAAAAAAATGTTAGACAGGGATACTTAAAGAGAAAATGAGTTGTCAAAAGTTGTTCATGATAGAAAATATTAATTTTGACCCCATTTTCCTAAAAGAAATAAAAATATTGTTGATTCCTTTACCGTTTTACTTAAATTTCTTGCATATATGTAACCTTCAAAAACTAATTGATAATGGATGGTTTTGAACGTTTTATATGATCAAAGAAACAGTCTCATAGTGCATAAATCAAGTGCTTGGGGGTATTTTGGTTTTAGTAAGTGTTATATTCCAACTCTATGTTTTATACTGTTTTCAGATGAAGTTGAAGACAATAATCAAAATGATAAAGAGAACAAAAACGAGAATGAAGACATGGAGCTTGCAGTATTTGGGTTTGGTACAATAGCTCAAGCTACTGATTGTTTTTCATTTCATAACAAGTTAGGTGAAGGAGGTTTTGGCCCTGTTTTTAAGGTGAAAGTCACTGTATTTTAGTACAATGATCTCTAAGCATACAATTTTATTCAAAGCTCATTCAAATATTGTAAAATTTTCCAGGGGACACTAGCAAATGGACAGGAAATTGCAGTGAAGAGACTTTCAAAGAGTTCTGGACAAGGATTGAACGAGTTCAAGAATGAAGTAAAGTTGATTGCCAAACTTCAGCATCGGAATCTTGTAAGGCTTCTTGGATGCTGCGCTCAAAGAGATGAGAGAATGCTGGTTTACGAATACATGCCTAATAGAAGCCTTGACTCTTTCATTTTTGGTCTGAAAATCATTAGAAAACTTCTCATTGTTTTCACCTCTGGTTCTTCAATGATTAAATAAGACGCACGACTAACATGAATGTGTAATTTCTAGATCAATCGAGACGTGAAGTATTAAACTGGTCCATGCGTTTCCGAATTATATGCGGGATTGCCAGGGGACTACTCTACCTTCATCAAGACTCGAGATTGAGGATTATTCATAGAGACTTAAAAGCTAGTAATGTTTTACTTGACAGCGAGATGAACCCGAAAATTTCAGATTTTGGCTTGGCAAAAACTTTTGGAGGAGACCAAACAGAAGCCAATACAAATAGAGTAGTTGGAACTTAGTAAGTGTATTTTTATGCCTTTTACATACAATTTGATCCATAAAAAGAATTCATTGTGTTTGTCTAACAACATTCTGCAGTGGTTATATGGCACCAGAATACGCTACTGATGGGCTGTTTTCAGTAAAATCAGATGTTTTTAGCTTTGGGATTTTATTGTTGGAGGTTATAAGTGGAAGAAAGAATAGAGGTTTTTACCATGCAAATGAAAGTGGCAACCTTATTGAACATGTAAACATCAACTAACACTATTATCATTATGTTTGGTAACTTGAATAGAAAATGCTAAAAGGTTTAAATTTTGCCGCAGGCTTGGAGATTATGGAAGGAAGGCAAGCCTTTATATGTTGCTGATGATTTCTTAGTAGAGACTGGCGATCAATCCGAGATGTTACAGTGCATCCACATTAGCCTTTTATGTGTACAGCTGCATCCTGAAGATAGACCGAGTATGTCATCCGTGGTTCATATGTTGGGAAGTCATAATGAATTGCCTTCGCCTAAGCAACCTGGTTTCCTGTTTAACAAGAAACCTTTGGAAGCAGTTTCTTCTCCCGACATCAATGGGACGTCCTCAAGAAACGAAATAAGTCTATCATTGTTCGAGGCTCGGTAAAAAAAATAAGAAGATTGCATGGTTCATTTAATCTGTTATGCTGAAAACTATCGGCAACAATTTCTGTCCCATCTGAAACGTTGGGCATTTTACTCATTAATGTTACTCAAAACTCAAGTGTTTGGTAGATACTAGCATGTTTTCAACGTGAGCATATTCGATTTCTCTGAGTTTTTCTATGTCTTTGGATGGTAGATAAATTAAAAAAATGAAATACTTGTCTTATAGTTATCATGGAAACTAAGATTACTGAAATTAATAGATATGAGATACCGGCCAAGATCAAAGTGATTGTTAATGTATGGTCAGGCAAGATACCAACTTTTACAGCCTTCCTCATTTATGGGTCTAATGCTAAAAATATATATTGTTAAGTAATTAAACTTCTGCATCAAGAAAAGAAGTTGGTCAAAGCTTTTGAGTCCCAAAGATTTCCTTTTACAACGTTTGGTTGAAACTAAAGAACCCTTGAACTAGAAAACAAATCTTAACGGATAATGCAACATGATCAAATCTTAATTGACCCTTGAGACATTGTGTGTTCGCAGTTTCCTGGAAATTGAGAAGACATGTCTTGTAGCTTAAGTTATAGCCTATAAATTCTTTTTTTTGCTCCAATCAGCAGAAGTTTAGTGGAATATCAGATGAAAGATTTGACTTTTTGGAGAAGTCTAGGAGTAGAAATGCATGTTATTTAATTTCACTCTGAATGGCCCTTGGTCAAACTCACACTTTTATATTCTTGTAGTCCAATATTGGGTTATAATTTAAGGTTCAATTATTGCAAACTTAATTCCAGTTTCTGCAGGAGAGAAAGGGATGTTTCTTAACAGTATGAGCCTTAAGAAAATTATAAATAAGCATCTTCAAAGTCAGTTGAGTATAAAATACTTGTGGCCTCTGACATTATTGATAAAGACTTGCAACATTTTTTTAATCAAATTCCATGTGTAGGTCATTTATTCAAGACTAAAGACTTGCATTTAGAATGTTCAATCAAATGGAATGTGTGCTTAATTCTGCAAGCAATTAGCTACCAAACTAGACATCCATGGAAATGGGTTTCTACTTTTACAGTGTTTGTTGTTTCCTCATTATCTTCTCAAAAGGTTCAACTGCAATCGACACCATTTCTCCATCGGAGTCCCTCACTGATGGCATGAACATAGTCTCCAATGGTGGAAGCTTTGCTTTGGGTTTCTTCTCTCCTGGCAGTTCTATGAATCGCTACCTAGGAATTTGGTACAACATCCCCATGCAAACTGTTGTTTGGGTTGCAAACAGGATAAACCCAGTAAACGATTCCACAGCTGTGTTTAAGATAGAAAGTAGCGGCAGAATTGTGCTTCAAGTTCAGAACACAACTGCTGTTTGGTCGACTAATATGACAGCAAGTGTTGATAATCCAGTATTGCAGCTCCTGGATTCTGGTAATCTTGTTGTCAGAGATGGAAACGATGGTAATTCAGAGAATTACTTATGGCAAAGCTTTGATTATCAATCGGATACAATGTTACCAGGGATGAAAATCGGTGTTGATTTAAGAACTGGTTTCGATCGAAGACTCTCGGCCTGGAAGAACTGGGATGATACATCTCCAGGTGATCTTACTTATGGTGTAGAACTTGAAGGAAGTCCACAAATGGTGCTAAGGAAAGGCTTACAGAAGTACTCTCTGAGTGGGTTACGGATTGGCAATGGATTCAGTGGGGCACCTAATGTAAGGTTGAATCCGATCTTTGATTACGACTTTGTGTGGAACGAAACTGAGGTTTACTACACATTTTCACTCAAAAACAAATCAGTGATGTCGAGGGTTGATTTGAACCAAACTGAAAGTGCAAGAGAAAGGTACACATGGAACCCAGAGATTCAAACCTGGCAGCAGTTTGTAACCTTCCCAAGTGACTATTGTGACAATTATGGACGTTGTGGTCCAAATGGGAACTGTGATAGCAATAAACTTCCGGCTTGTCAATGTTTGACAGGGATGTCCCGAAAGATGGAACTAGTCAGATTATTCTGGAGGGTGTGTACACATTAAGCCATTGAACTTCCAGAAAGGAGATGGTTTTATCAGAATTCGCAACGTAAAAACCCGAATTCGCAACGTAAAAACCCCAGACACCACAAATTCTTGGGTTAATAAAACTATGAATCTAAAGGAACGCAGGGAAAAGTGCTTGAGGAATTGCTCTTGCTGTTGAAAATCGAGCAATGCACCAAATTAAAAGTTTCAAGTTTGGCAATCAACTTTGAAAAAATGATTTTCAAAGTTTGGTAAATGTTTCTTTGAAAAATTGATTTTCAAAGTTTGATAGATGTTTGTTGAAATATTGTAATGGGATAATCATAATTAGTCACTAGACTTTAGGGTATTTATATGATTAAGTCCTTAAGTTTCAACTATAAATACCCTAGCTCATTTAGCTTCAAATCCATCCCAAAATCCCAAATCATTTCTTTTCCCAATACTAGATAGTTTTCTTATGAGTAGTGAGTGTTTTGTAAACACCTGTAAATTTTCTCTTAGTAAAATATCTGCAGCAGTCCGAAGACGTAAGCACAATTGGCTGAACTCCGTTATCAATTTCGGGTATTATTTTTCCGCTTTTATTTCACATTCTCACTAATCTGGTTATAGGGAAATTACTCGTACTCTGTTAATTTCTTAACAACTGGTAATAAGAGCTTTTGGTTGTGAATTTTGTCAATTTTTGTGATGTTACTATTCATACTATTCATGTGAATAGTGAATTTCGTGAATAGTAAAAATTTTATCGGCGATACGAGTTTGTCGACGGAGGTGTTATAATACACGGCGGTTCACACAAATTGTCAGAAACGATCCGAAGAAGCCAGATTCGAGTGGGAGCGATGGCTGCAGACAAAGGGAAGGTGAAAATTGAAAAATTCGATGGTGCAGACTTTGGCTTTTGGAAGATGCAGATTGAAGATTTTTTGTACCAGAAAAATCTATATCAACCTCTCTCAGGAAAACAACCAGAGGGCATGAAGAATGAAGACTGAGCTCTTCTCGATAGACAAGCCCTCGGAGTTATCCGACTGACGTTGTCCCGAAATGTTGCTTTTAACATAGCAAAGGAAAAGACCACTGCGGGTCTTATGGCGGCTCTCTCCAGTATGTATGAGAAGCCATCGACCTCAAACAAAGTTCATTTGATGATGCGATTATTCAATTTGCGAATGGTGGAAGGGGCATCAGTGACTCAACACCTAAATGAGCTCAACACAATCACAACCCAGTTGAGTTCTATGGAAATTGAATTTGATGATGAAATTCGAGCTTTAATTCTCTTATCATCCCTACCAGACAGTTGGAATGCTACTGTTACAGCAGTCAGTAGCTCGTCGGGAAACAGTAAATTAAAATTCGACGATGTTCGGGATCTGGTATTGAGTGAAGAAATTCGACGAAGAGAATCGGGTGAAGCATCAACCTCCTCAGCCTTGCACACGGACTAGATGGAGAACTTCAGAAAGAAATTCAAACCGAGGCAGATCGAAATCCAGAACGGAAAAATCAAGAACGGGAAAGAAAGATTTTACCTGTTATAACTGCGGCAAGAAGGGTCATTTTAAAAGAGATTGTCGAGCACCGAAGAAAAATACCTGCGCACATGATTCTGCCAACGTGATAGAGGAGACATGTGATGTTATGATTCTAAGCGTCAACAGTCCGATTGAATCATGAATCTTGGATTCAGGGGCATCTTTCCACTCTACCCCATGCCGAGAAATCATGGAGAACTATGTCAGTGGTGATTTTGGGAAGGTTCATCTAGCCGATGATGAAACCTTGAAGATCGTTGGAAAAGGAAACATCCGATTAAAGTTGCCAAACCAGACCACCTGGACGCTGAAAGTAGTGAGACATATTCCTGGCCTCAAAAGAAATTTGATTTATGTAGGATAGCTTGATGGTGAAGGATTTAGCACAACTTTTTCAGGTTGTGAATGGAAGATTGCCAAATGAGCACTCGTCATTACTCGTGGTAAGAAAACTGATACTCTCTATATAACCTCAAATTTAGAGAATATCATTGCAGTAGCAGATACTGATGGAAAATCAAACCTATGGCACCAAAGGCTTGGCCATATGAGCGAGAAAGGGATGAAGACACTTTTGTCAAAGGGGAAGTTGTCGGATCTAAAGAATGTAGATGTCGGACTATGCGAGGATTGCATCTTTGGCAAACAAAAGAAAGTCAGCTTTGCAAAGATTGGTAAGACACCCAAGGCTGAAAAGTTAGAGTTGGTTCATACTGATATATGGGGACCATCTCCAGTTTCATCTCTTGCAGACTCATTATATTATGTCACCTTCATCGATGATTCTACAAGGAAGGTGTGGGTTTATTTTCTGAAGAAGAAATCAGAAGTCTTTGATACCTTCAGAAAATAGAAGGCCATGGTGGAAAATGAGGCTGGTCTGAAAGTCAAGCGGTTGAGGTCTGACAATGGAGGAGAGTACAAAAATCGTAGATTCAGAGATTTCTGCGCAAACAATGGGATCGAGATGGAGACAACAGTTCCCATGACACCGCAGCAGAATGGCGTAGCAGAGCACATGAACAAAACTCTAAATGAACGTGCCAGAAGCATGAGGATACATGCTGGATTGCCCAAATTTCTATGGGCTGAAGCTATCAACACTGCAACTTACTTGATCAACCGTGGGCCCTCGGTTCCTTTGGATGGCAGAATACCAGAGGAAGTTTGGAGCAAGAAAGAAATAAACCTTTCACACTTAAGAGTGTTTGGTTGTATTTCTTATGTACACATAAACTCTGCTGAAAGAAGTAAACTTGATGCCAAGTCCAACAAATGTGTCTTTGTGGTTATGGTGGTGATGAGTTTGGTTACCGGTTTTGGGACTACGAAAATCGAAAGATCATTAGAAGCAGAGATGTCATTTTCAATGAGAATGTGATGTACAAAGACAGATCAACCATAGAATCAAGTAGCTCAAACATCGAAGCTGAAACAAAGGAATTTGCTAAGTTCGAGGAGATTTCTGGAAATAATGTTCAGATCAGTCCTGAAGCAGTTCAAGAAGAACCAGGCAC